TTTCGTGAGATGGATTTTTTGTTCATTTCAAAATGAAAAGAGAATTGCGCCCACTTTTTCATTTATGGAATCTTTTTTCATTTAAACGAAACTTCCCCTCAGTATCTATTGTTCATATTGTTCCAGATTATTCTGGACGCTATTTTGTTCAAGTTTTAAGTATACCATATACATACGCAACATTAAAATAATACATACATATATGGATCGCGTGTGACTGTGCAAAAAGAACAGATACGGTCAAAATTCTCAAAACAGCTGTGCGTAAACGTAATATCAAAGAGAGTGACGAGTTTTCCAGTGCTTTCAACGCGTTACGTGTTCATGACTAACGAACTTCTTGTGCATTCGAAAAAAGAGTTGATTTGTGTGGCCGAAAATACTCGAAGCAAACATTCGAACCGTTTAAGCTGTATAAATACCCCGCCGCATCGTTGTAAGTTGAATACACAGCAAAACACAGTTGAAACTAAACCAAACATTCGATCAAAAAGTGTTCTTTGAACGCGAACAATAAAATCAAGCAATTTTAAGTGAATTTTGTGGAAGTAAATAAAAAATCAAGTAAAAATGTCGCTTTTGCCATACATCATTGGAGAATACTACCAACCAAGCAGTTACCGTCAACTTGGTTCGGTTTATCCAAGCAACTTGTGGGTTTCGCCAGTTGAACGCTCGTTGCTTCGCTCTCTATCAAACACCGGCAATTATTTAAGATCGCAATTGTCGCATTTTGACGAGCTAGAGGCAAAGACACATATTGGCAAAGACGGTTTCCAAGTTTGTCTCGACGTTCAACACTTCCAACCGAATGAGATCTCGGTGAAAACGGAAAATAATTCGATTGTGGTGAATGCCAAACACGAAGAGAAGAAGGACGACCACGGTTACATCTCACGAGAATTTACTCGTCGCTATGAACTACCAAAAGGATTCAATATTGAAGACGTAACATCAAGTCTCTCATCTGATGGTGTTCTCTCGATTAAATGCCCTAACCCTCCGGCCATCGAAGGATCCAACGTGCGCCAAATTGAAATCCAACAAACTGGCCCAGCCAAGCAAAGCATTAAGAGCAACGAGGAGAAGAAGGATGAAAAACCAAAGGCCTAAGCATCTTCAAAGTGCTGTTTTTATTCAAATCCATGGATTTTGGTTTAAGTTTTATGCTTAGTCATCCAAAATGTCGTTATAATTTAAGAAATCACTGTCATATTAGATTTAAGAAGATTGAATAAATGGCGAAAGAGCAATATAGGAAACAGAATTCTCTGTGTATTTCTTTTAAATTAAAATAGAGCATTTGCTGTGATTTTCTTTGTAATTTTTAGCTTTGAACAAGGTGCTCTGTTTGAGCAAGGAACAATAAAATCAGAATTATACCAAATCATGATTTGTGGTTTGAAAACAAACCGAGTTTCACGATTCAGCTATACAATCGTGTGTTTAATGGTTTAATCTATATCAAATCGGCTCTCTTTTAGGGCTAGGGTAAGTAAATGTGATGACAATGAACTGTATCTTAAAAGAAACAAATTGAAACGAACGAAGTTCATAGATTGATTAAAAGAGAAAAAAAAATAGGAAGACGCAATATATTTGTTCAATGGAAGAATCGCTGAAGAGTACATATATCACGTACTCAAAGAGATTAATTTTTTCTAAACATGAACAGATTCAGTCAACTAATATCTAATTTGGTGTATTTGGCGAGCAAATTTAATCAGACTGCTACGATATCACTGATATACGTTTCGTTTACAGACTTTAGCAAAATAATTTTATAGAAGTCAAAATACAACATTTTGTTTCTCGATCGATTTGATAATTCATTTTTGTGGTTTCAACAATTTATTCAAGTTTATTATCTGGGAACAAGATGATTTGCTCACGCAAACGCTATGATTAAAATTCAAACCAACTCAGTAAATGGAAATTGCATAGAAACAATAGCTCAGATTGCTGCGACGATTTCATTATAATCCATATCATGCATTATTTTAAGAAATTTTTAGAGCTGCCCATTTTCAAGAAAATTTAAGTAAAACACTGCCCATTTTTGAGTTTTGAGCTGCCCATTTGGGATTTAGAACTGCCCAAATGGGCAAGAGCTGCCCATTAAAATAATGCATGATCCATATCGAAAACTTTAGATATATTTCATGCACATTTGGAATGTGACATTCCATAAATAGGAACAGCGAACATTTTTTATAAAAATTGTCCAATTGATAAACCTGGGGGTAAACTAAATAAAGTCCGAAGAATCTTTTAAGCTTTAGCCAGAGTCTTGCCTTCATTAGGCTCTATTCACTTACTTGATACAATAACAACATACTAAGTCACCAAACACCAATGAATGAGTGAAAATGACCAAATATAGACTGAAGAGTCAAAAGAAATTTGAGGCCCAAAAAAATACAAGTTGCAACGATAAGAAACAACAACCAGTTCAATCAAAAATAAAAAGATCAACATTTTGTATCAACTATACAAACCATGGTATGTAATCCTTCGAAGTACTTCATAGAGAAAAAAATTAAATCCAGATCTTACCTTTCCGATAAAATTTTTCAACTTTCAATAAAAGACCTCATCGCTGAAAAAACCAAACCTGCAAACTTATTGATATGCCACAGAAATTTTTAATAAAAAACACAACGGGATTTTTATTTTTTTTTCAAACTTTATTGACTTGTGCTTTTCCGAAAAACAGTTTCTGAACTTAAACCAAAAGTTCTAGGTGCTTACATTTAAGTAACTTATTCGAATGATTTAATGTCAAACTTGAATTTGAAATCCATGGATTTGGAATGGGTGAATTAATGTTTAAGTAGTGGTTATGGAGATGATATTTATTTTTTATCAGTTTTCTTCTCCTCGTTGCTCTTGATGCTTTGCTTGGCTGGGCCAGTTTGTTGGATTTGAATCTGGCGCACATTGGATCCTTCAATGGCTGGAGCGTGTGGACACTTAATCGAGAGAACGCCATCAGATGAAAGACTTGATGTTACGTCTTCCACCTTGAATCCCTTTGGTAGATCATACCGACGAGTGAATTCTCGTGAAATATAACCGTGGTCGTCTTGTTTCTCTTCGTGCTTGGCGTTCACCATAATCGAATTATTTTCCGTTTTCACCGAGATCTCGTTCGGTTGGAAGTGTTGAACGTCGAGACAGACTTGGAAGCCGTCTTTTCCAATATGCGATTTTTTTTCATATCCATCCAAATTGGATAATTGCGATCGCAAATAATTGCCGGTGTTGTTTAACGATTGAACCAACGAACGTTCAAGCGGAGAAACCCACAAATCTCTTGGATAATAACCCGATCCAAAACGATGGTAGCTGGATGGGTTGATTTCGTCAAAAATGAATGGCAAAAGCGACATTTTTACTTTATTCTCTTTTTTTTTCAATTTTTTCACAAAATGCACTTGAAATTGCTTGCTTTGGTTGTTAGAGTTCAACGAACACCTTTTTGTTTGTTTGATTTTAGTTATGACTTTGGAAAGCTTTGAATTCAACTGACGCTTTCTGCGATGCGGTACGGTATTTCTACTGTTTGTCATGCTCAGCGCTAACGCTCAACGATTTTGCTAGAAAATACTCGAAGCTCGATACCGTACGCAAATAATCTATAGCATGCGGCAGTGCATGCGTCAATCGAACGTTATATACTGAATACAGTAGACGTTTCGAGCATTCTAAATACAATTGTTTGTGTGTTTGGCATTCGTTGTTTCGCCGGCATAAAAAAACACTGACCTCTCTCAATGTAATGCCATTTATAGAGTTGAATTTCGGTTCACTTTTAGGTTAATACGACAAAATAATGCTACTTTTTAATATTTAACTCAACCATGCTTGAAGTTTTTAATTTGACCATACGCATCACAAAAATGAAGGTGCTTTTTGGGCATTTAAGGGTTTCATTTAATTTAATGAGAATGATTATATATGATGATGTGACGTATGCCGTTTTTCGAATGCTATAAGAACTGACTTTATGCATAAAGTTCCACATGTGGAACATAATATAGACGTGATAGCAAATGTTTGAAGAGAAATGTGCATATTATTTCTTTTTTCTCGTATAAAAGCGCAGTTGTCTTCGCCCATCGAATTTTATGTCACTTTGAAAACCACGAAAAAGAAAAATAATCGGTTTAATTATTATTATTTTTTCATTATACACATATGAATTATTCATTATATAATTGTTGAATACTATTTTATGATCAAAGGATACTTCTATATCACCACGTCCAGCACACAGGCTGGATACCAAAGTATTCTGTAGGTATATCAAAACCGATACATAAAACACTTTTTTTCTTTGGATCTTTGTCTTTCCTTCCCGGAGAGTGTGTACGAGTCATGGCGAAATGAACATCCCTACTGTTCTTGTTATCTAAAAAAGAGAATTGAATAAATTAATTGCAAGTGAAAGTTTCAATCAAATCCACACATCTGATTCCTTATATGTCGAAAAATGGCGTTTCACTCACAAGGCGTTAGCCGAAGGCTAGCATCAGAAGGATTTAATCCATGGTCTTCTAAAAAATAATTTCGAGATTTGGAATGATGATCTTCACGAACAGCGCTGTAACGACTATTTGAACGAGCAAATTCTGAAGGTGCTATTTCCAAGGCTCACGATCGCCCAAAATTGCAATCGTGCACGATCATCGGCTTTAAAAATAGTGCCTTAAATGGTTTTTAATTTTTTTCAATAGAAAACCTCACAAAGCCTTTGTGACAAAGGTATACTTTCATTGCTAAAAAAAACGCACAGTTGTTCTTTGCATTCCACTGTGCACTTTATTCAACTTTATTCAAACGATAACACTCTATTTATTCTCTTCCTTGCAACTGATTTTATCTTGTGTTATGTTTATTTACCTGTTGAATTCATCACGAGGTGCTGCAAAAGAAAATAAAGTCTTTTAAGGTCTGAATGCAAATCGTTTAATCCACAAATATTACTTCAAAAATATGCATATTTACCAGCAAAGACAAAATTCAGACAGAACGTCGATAATAGCAATACATTCATTGTGGACGCACAAACAAAAACTGATAAAGAACACAATGTTGATTGCTTTTGTGTTGAAAATTGATAAAAATAGAGCAGCTTCCATCAATTAAAGATTTCAGCTGTCACTTTTATTCATAAAATACATTTGACAAAGATATTGATTACATAGTGTACACATATTTAGTGTAGGCTTTTTGCTTTGCGTACATTAGAAGAATGCCATTCATTCAAATGTTGACATAAACAGGTCATATCATGATAATAATCAGCAGTGAGCTATTTACATAATACAAAAGTATTTCTGATGCAATTATATTTTACTTTTTTTTTCCCTTTTTGGAATTCATAGTTGAGTGAACTGCTTAAAACTACCTTATTTCAACCATCACAAATAAAATATTTCAATGCCTTATTTATACTTATCAGTAGACACACCGCTGTCGGGAATACAGTTTAAAGACATGTTCAAAACTCAATGCAATAGGCGAATGATCGATGCCGTGTGGCAACTCATCGACGAAAGCCATAGACTCGAAACGAATGTGTAATGAATTAGAATGTAGAATATTGTTATGTATGCGAACATAACAGCTGATGTGTAGCTGAGCTGAACATTTGCAGTACTTACCGGCTAATCATAAAAATCCTTGACCTTTTCTAATTTTGAAAAAACAAAACCATCAATTTTTTTAGTTCCCCATTTTATTTTGAGGTGAAGAACACTTTGATTTATTGATGCAATCAGATTTGC